ATTGATGAGCAGAACACGATGAAATAATTTTTTGGCGATTTTTGTAGAAGTTAATATTTTGGGGACATAATTTAAGTAAGCAAAATTTATATATTTTTTCTAAACACTTGGGCACTATAGTCTTTGAGAAACATCATTGCGAGGTTTCATGGAGAAATGTTAGAAGTTAAGGATTTGTTGCCTACAAGCGCCTATGCTACCTTGACCCAAGGATAAAGGGAGCGAGCTTTTTGTTATGCACTAGATATATAGCAGTCGAGAATGTTGGCTGAATTGTTAGAGCTCACCAACATTCACATCAACATTAAAGAATACAATAGAGTGATTAAGTCCTTCATTGTCACTCGTCCATATGTACTCACCCTTGAAGGGATGGCTAGGTCGAGAAAGAATTCGCTTTGGGTAGCGAAGGGATAGGACTAGCATTTTACGAGATTCCTGCCACCCATAGCACTAGAGAGTGCCATTGCAACCTGGGCCACTAAGAAGTGCCAGACCACTCGCACTTAGGTGGAGGAGCTCCCTTGGGCCACTTGTCTCTATCATGAAGAAAGAACACATCGCGCCGTCACTTATTCCACCTTCAACCATTGTGAGCGTCAATGGTGTGTTGATTGAGGTTATCCAAAATAAAAAGTTTTTCAAATGCCAATGCTTGTGATGTTGAACACGCACACACTAGGGACACCTGGAGATAATGTGCCTTTCGCAAAGATCACGGTAAGTTGGTCCATGAGCCTATTAGTTGCAAACACACTCAACAAAGGTGGTGTTGAGAATATGGAGTGCCAACGACTTGATTTTCTACCCATGTATTAGTCCTTAAAGTATTTTTGCATTCAAAGTTTTCATAATAAAACAAAGTATTCTACTCATTTCATGTTTTGTACAATTCTTGCATGCATGAGTTCTAACATAGGTTAGTCAATGAATCCACGACTTACTACTCTATGCTTCGGGAACTCGCATGCCCCTGAAACTATAGTGAACACACCTAGCGTACTCTCCCTACCTAAGAACTCGTGGAACATGCCTAAGTGAGTTGTGCAATAAAACTTTAAAGAGCATTTTTTTTTCACTTGCTAAGCTATAATGTAGTTTACTCATAGCCCCAGGTTAGTGCATAATAGCTGGAATACAACTTATTGGCCCAAGCTACTCGACCCCCTTGCAATAACAAAGGATGATTGATGAGATAAGAATCATACGAGTCCTTAACCAATTTCAAGCTAAAGAGCGACTCAAATTACTTCCTACTGGAGAGTCAAGGCCCTTAGGCACAGACTCAGGAGAAGTAAAGTCATCGCTCAAGCGAAGTAGCCTCCTTATTTCTTGTTGAGTCTCTTTGGCAAGTTTTGTTTAAAATTCCACACAACCCGAAATAATCGGCTCTTAAAAAAAGAGAGAAGAAAAAAAGAAAAAAAATATAAAAAGATTACAAGAAAAATCCTCACTTATCAAATATAATTGTTAAAGGTTTCTTTGACTAACTCCCACTATGAATCACATGCACATATCATAGATATTGGGTCGCCAAGTTATCACATCAATCGGTTAAGCATTATAGGATTATCCCCTCTTGTTTTGATAAGATTCACAATGAGTAATACACGAGTCTTCTATAGCAAGCGAGATTTAGTGGTTACCCCTGCAAAGACTATAAAGTCTTTTGTAAGGTAAGGCTCACTGTAGGTGACGACGACTTCATACAAATGCGAGTAGCCTTATAGGCTGACTCTCCCCATTGCAAAGATTCACAATAAGTTGCGCACAAGTGCTTTATAATATGAGAGTCTAGGTGGTTACTCCCGCGATGACTATAAAGTCGGGTGTAAGACACAACTTACTTAAGGCTACTATACATCGAGTTAATTGAGTTAATGAGAACTCGTAAAGTGACAAGCTCACTCTAAACACCATTCGTGGGAGGTTGTGATCAACACATCATATACAAAGCTCCTTTATTACATGCCGAGTATACAAAGAAATAAAGCACAATTCTGTTACCGCCGAGTCCAGAACTTAGATTTTGTAGTTTTGACATTCTCAGTGCCTATTTATTTCAGCTATCTTCTGCTAAGAATTAAACTAAGCGTTCCCCTTTTTCACAGAAGTTGTCATCCTCTTCATTTGTATGTGATTTTTCCCAACATGCTGTTCGGTTCTATTATTATTTTTTCTGCTGACGGAACTTTAATTCTGGAAAATGCACAATTATTTCTGCAGTTGATGCCCATTGGATTTCTGAACATGTTAAATTTTTGAGCAAACTCATCTATTCGGACTTCAGAACCAGAAGAGCTCAATTTTGGTTTGCTATTCAGGCCTGTTCTGGATGGCTTCAATTTATGTGCTTTTCTAAAGTTTTCCCTGAGGTTTTCTGCCAGATGTGAAAGTTCTCTAGAGTTTTTTTTATAAATTTAATCAAGACATTTACAAGAGGATGTACCTTTGTGCATGTTTTTTGTTAATGAGATTCTTCTTATTGATAATTCTAGAGAGGGAGCTGATGAAAAACTTGAAGTATGGAGGTGAACTTTAGAGTCTAAAGGTTTTCGTTAAAGCTAATCTAAAATCGAATTTATAGTGTAATTTTAGTATTAGTAGATCTAGTGGTGGGATTATGACATTGGGTGATTAGGTCATTAAAAAAGTACCTATTTTATGTCTTGGGTCTAATGTTCAAAGCGATGGTGAAATAGATTGGGATATTATTAGTAGAATTCAAGTTGGATAGTTGTAGTGGAGGAATGCATCAGGTCTATTGTGCGATAGAAAAGCACCCCCGAACTTAAGAGAAAATTTTATAAGATGGTTGTGAGACCTGCAAAGCTTTATGGTGTGAATATTGTCCATTAAAAGAGAAGTATAAAATTAAGTTAAGTGTTGCAGAGATGAGGCTGTTTAGGCGGATGAGTGGCTTTACACTTAAAGACAAAGTGAAATGAATATATGCGTGAAAAGGATGGAGTTCCAATGGCAGATAAGATTAGAGAGAGTCGCCTTAGATGGCTTATATTAAGAATGGTAGAGGTAGACCTAAAATGATTTGATTAGAAAATATTAAAATTTATATTCTTTATTATATTTAAATAAGAATTTGACTTTTAATAGGACACAATGGAGAAAAAGTATTCATGTAATCGGCCCAACTTAGTGGGATCAAGACTTGTTGTTGTTATTATTATTGTATAAATTTAATCGAGGCCTACCTAGCCTACCTCTCAACTTTTAATTTTGAACTTATTGTAGCAAAGTAGACCTAATAGATGGACAATAAGGTTTGCAGGACTCTTGATCCTTCAAAAAAAAAAAATAATAATAATAATAATACAATTAGGTTGTTCAATTACAAGGCCATTCTTGTTTGAGGTTTTGAGAACTTAAGGACCTCACACCCCTTAATATGTTAGTCTATTAGTTAATATGTGAACTTGTCTTTGGTTTACATGTAAGATCTTTTATTCGTTTAGATTTCCAGTGCATCTGTCATCACCAGCTATTTGGATAAAGCAACTTCATTAACGCTCAAAAAAAAAAAAAAAAGGACAAAAGTTTTTCTTTTTAAAACAAGCTTATAAATTTCATTTCATATTTTATGCAATTTTGAATCATTTACGTACTTGTAGAAAGCTAGCTATCTTTCATGTAGCATTTTACCGCAACTATTTCCTGAGCAGGCAAGAGTACTCACAAAGGAGATATTTGACTGTAAGTTTTATGGAAAAGCTTTTATGAGCTGTTTACTCATCATTATACCAATTTTTTATACCCCTAAATCCTGTTGTTTCAGGCACTGCTTTTTCTCTGCTTGCATCTTTTTCTGTATATTGTTTACATTTTCTAACTTAGTTTTCATAAATTAACACCTAAAACAACAACAACTAACCTTTATCCCACTATGAGGGGTCTGCTATATGAATTTTTTTTTTCTATTGTATCTTATTAAGAGTCAAATTCTCATCTAAATATAATAAAGAAAGGTCATTTCTAATATTTTCTAACCAAGTCTTTTTAGGTCTACCTCTACCGTTCTTAACGTAAGCCAAATATAATACATCTCCTTTCCTAACCGGGCTATCGAAAGGCCACCATTTTATGTGACCAAATCATCTAAGGCGACCCTCTCTAATCTTATCTTCCACTGGAGCTACTCCAATCTTTTAACGTATATGCTCATTTCGTATCCTTTCTCTAAGAGTAAATCCACTAATCCACCTGAGCATCCTCATCTCTGCAATACTTAATTTAATATTATGCTTCTCTTTTAATGGCCAACATTCTGCACCATAAAGTATTTTAGGTCTCACTAACATCTTATAGAATTTTCCCTTAAGTTTGAGAGACTTTTCTATCACACAGTAAGCCCGATGCATTCCTCAATTTATTTGATTATCTGGAGAATGTTTAGTATAATCTCTTCTTTTCGTTCTTTTCCTTGGATTTTTTTTCATGTTTTATCATTGTCTATCTGCAAATTAGTTTTAGGCCCTGGTTACTTAATGTTTTTTATTATGATATGTAATGTGTTAAGAAAGGTTTAATTGTAGTTTTGGTTGTAGATTTTTACTTCCTTTCTGTGTTCAATACACATAATTGAAGCCAAGAGTAAAATATTTTCACAGGAACGCTGATCTGCTCAAGTGAACTGGAGTTCTGATGTTTATCTGATGCATGAAAAACTAAATTGTTTCTGAGAGTCCCTTATTTTTGCTCCGATCTTTGCAATTATGTGACTACATCCAATTTTCCTGGTTAAATTTTATTTGTAGATGATGATGTTGCATCACTTAGTTAGAGAAGCCCATTCGTGATTTATTTATTCAGTCCATTTGGTTTTAAAATTGGAAAATATGTTGGCTTTTATGTTTAATTTTATGAAAGACTTGACATTTTTAGCACAATTAATAGAAGAAAACTTCATTTAAGAATTTCCTGGTACCTTTGAATTTTGTGTATATTGGGCTTGTAACAAATATTTATTTCCTGCTTTATCCCAGTTCCCTGTTGGTCGTGTTCACCGTTTGCTTAAGTCGCGGATTGCTGCAAGTGGAAGAGTAGGAGCTACTGCTGCAGTATACTGTGCTGCGATTTTGGAATACCTTACTGCCGAAGTGCTGGAGCTTGCTGGCAATGCTAGCAAGGATCTGAAGGTGAAGCGCATCACGCCGAGGCATTTGCAACTTGCTATTCGTGGAGATGAAGAGCTTGATACACTTATCAAAGGTACCATAGCCGGTGGAGGTGTGATTCCTCATATCCACAAGTCCCTCATTAACAAATCGTCCAAGGAATAATAATCTTCTACGCACGGCCCTCCATGAATCTTCTATGCCATTCTCCCAGGTTTAATGATAAGTTTTCTTAGTTCTTTCTTCTTTTTATTTTCTATTTGTAGCATTAGAATTTATGGCCTGTTGTTTGAATATTTATCTCCAACATACCAAATTTAAATTATTTTCTTGAGATCATCATGGTGGGAATTCTATAATTTGTAGTGGATTGAAATGTTTGCTTTCTGTTAAAAGGATTTTGACATGGAACAGCCTCATTTGCAAATTTAGTTTGACTAATTATATAGGTTTCATTATTATCTCGAATTTTTGCTAATTAATTTTCCTCAATCTCGTTTTCATGGAGAGTTGTTTGATTGGTCCATTTTCTTGTGCCTAAGGTTTCATTTGGGATGACTTTCTTTTTGCTTCTTAAAGAAGCTTTTTAATACAAATTTTAAAATTTTTGCATTAAAAAACTATTTTAAGAAGCAGGAAGAAAGCCGTCTCAAACGAAGCCTAAATCTTTAATTCTCTGCAGTCGAGTTGCCTGGTTGGAGATTTGCAGGGGCAATTAAATATTGATATGGTGAAAAAAATGACAAACTATGTCAGCTTATGTGGCTGATTGCCTGAACGTGTGCCACAGCAGTTGACAATATATATAAGCCTTTGTTTTTGTAGTGTAGTTGTGCACATAAGGAAGCCATTATTCTATTCGACTATTACTATTGAGACCAATCTTACAAAGTATTCTTTGAGTTTTGTACACCTAAAGTTGCTTGGGCCGATTTACTTGAGACTCAGTTCTATGAATCAGATTGGAATAGAGGATAAGCCTAATATGCTTTTTGACATATTTTAATTTTCATATAACATTAGCTTGTAATTTATGTTGGAGATCTAGTGAAATCTTAGAACTCACTAAAAAATTCTATATTTCCCACTTCAATATTTTTGCAAAGCTTGCTTTATATTTGTTAATAAGGCTTTAACATTGCCCACAAATAGATTTGAATTTGATGTCTTTTTAAATTCAGATTTGATTTGGGACAATTTTTTAATTATTTTAAAAACAGTTTTAGTATTTTTTTAGAAAATAGTAAAAAACTGTAACAAACAAAATCTTAGGGAGTATAAAAACATATATAGGATCAGAATTTAAGTAATGCAGCATCATCATAATGGACGAAGAGATCTCTTATAACAAAACAATATGAATTTATCATTGATGCTCTTTTTTTCTTTATTTATTTATTATTATTTTTTAAACTCTCAAAGGGGCATTTGAGTTGATTAATAGAAAGATTATATTGTCCTTAAAAGGGATCTCGAGTTCAATAATGCTCACAAGAGCTACAAGAAAATGAAATGATAACCTAAGAGTCAAGTTACCTCCAAATTAAAAAAATAAAAGGCTTCGGCTTCGTTACTGTTACTCAATTATGCTAACGGGATGATAATAATTTAGGGAATTCTAAAGCAGTTTCAAGAATAACTTCTCGAGTCGAGTCTTAGGCTTTATTAATGATGGCTTTCCTACTGCTTTCAAGCAGCTTTCTAGTACAAAAATTAAGCAACTTTAAGAAGCAATAAGAAAGCCGCCCCAAATAAAACCTTGAATTCTCGGGTGGCCTGCACTATTCTCAACCTGTCTTAATCAGATTCTGACTAACATGAAAGGTTCCTAAATGTGTGAAAGTAATATTGTTGTTGATAACATCAAATTTGAGATTAGTGATCATGAGAATCTTTTTTGATATCTAAAACCTCTAATTTAATGAAAATAGTGAATATAATATGCAAAAATTAGATCTGATGATGGTCACAATATAAACATTTGCATGAAAATTATTGTATTAGTGATGATGCTGAAACATAAATTGGACAACATGAGCATCTTCAATTACCTTCAAAGCTAATCTAATAAAAAAAAGCATTAAATGTTTGCGAAATATTAAGAGTTGCATGAAAATTGTTGTTTTGCTAATAACATCAAAATCAACATTGGAAAATATTAGCACGTTTGCCATTTAAAATCTCCATTTCTGTGAAAATGGTGAAGATTGAATGTAAGAGCAAATTATGTAAAATGATCACAAAATTTCATAGTTGCATGAAAATCATGTTGTCGACAATGATGACATTGCGAGTGGCAAATGCGGGCATGTTCATTGTTATTTAAAACCTTAATCGATAAAATTGATGAAGATTAAACACATTATTAAAAATGGTTATGAATTATTCACAGGCATAAAAAGTGTTGTCATTAATAACATTAAGGATTCCAGTGAATTCCAAACGAAGTCTAAAATTGAAACCAATAAAAGCAAGAATGTGCATGGTCACTTAAGAGCTCCAATGCATATAAAATTATGGAAATTAGACTTAGAAGTTACATAAAATAAGAATGTATGAAAGTGATTATTCATGAATGATGCTAAAATTGAGATCAATAGTATAGTAGCAATGATTTGCCTGGGAACTTAAGAGATTTAATGCAACAAAAAATGGTAAAAATCATATAAAGTTATATAAAACTAAGTTTCTAACGATTAGTACTAATATAAAATATCAGAGTATAGACACGTATTTACCTAGAGATAGGTAAAATTATTTCTAGGAAGATTAAGCTAGGAGGAGTTTGAACAACTTAAATCTACCTAAGCTAACTAATCTCGTATTAGTTCAGTGAATTATTTATTGCATAAATGAACCAATAAAAACAGTAGATTCAATCCAAAAGTAAGAGATAAATTTATTATGTGGTTGTTTGGTTGGCTGGAAAAGGAATGCAGTGTAGAATGGATACTTTGAATTATTTGGATGTGTGTAAAGGAAATGAATGAGATTACTTATTTTTTTGTTTAGTTTGAAGTAAAATGAATGCAATGTAAAGTGCAAAGAAGGCAGTGGTAGGTTCTTGATGTTGGCGGTGGTGTTGGTCGGTAGTGGTTGGTAGCAGTGGTGAGAGGCAGGTGAAAATAACTAGTGGTGGTCGGCCACTGCCGGCGGTGGAGGATAATGTTCGACGGAGGTGGGTGGTGGGTGGAAGGTGGCAGTGGCAACTGACGGTGGCAATGGTCGATCGGGCTATGTGGGCAGCTATTAGGCTGGGTGGGTAGTGGTGGTTGACGACTACGAGCAGTGGGGGCCATCAGAGGTGAGCAGTGGGGGCCATCAGAGTTGGAATTCACCCAAATCTAATAAATTTCAAATACACCAAAAATGAAGTAGAGAGTGAATTCCAAATGTATTAAATTTTGACACTACATTTATTTTGATTCAAACCAAATGCTAATATTCTCAAAACCCATGTGTTTATAACACTTAACTCTCTTTTTACTTCTAAAAAAAAAAAATCCCTAAATATATCAACTATGGCATGATAGAATGAAATAAATCTTAAGAAGGTTTGTTGGATCTATAGTAGTCTACACAAGGCTAGACTAAATTCAAAGACTTCCTTCTTTAAGGGTCTTAATGTCTAAGCTAGGAAAGGGGGCTATAAGGATTGGACCTAACTTAGATTTACTAAACAAGGTGTTGATCCATTAGATCAACTATAACATAGTAGAGTTACCAGTCCAAAAAGGAAGTTAGATCTAGGGATGCCTAAATTTTGTCGGGCAAAATCCTATAATTTCTTTTCTTAAAGGCTTTCAATGGCTAAAATAAGAATGAAGTCTAAATGACTTTATCTTAACCTATATTTACTAGAAAAGGTAGATTAGTCAATAATGGCCTAATATAATTAATAAATCCAAAAGAAGAATGGATATATGGATGTCTAAACTGGGTCATGCTAGATCCTTAAGTTTCTTTTCCTAAGAATTTTCAATTATTAAATTATGAAAAGGGTCTTGGAGGCTTAATCCTTATAACCAAGATTTACTTGATAAGGTGTTGATCTATTGAATCAATTATAATGCAGTAAAGTTAATATATCTAAAGGGAAGATGGACCTATGGATGCCTAAACTTATTGACAGCAACCAAGTCTTGATTATACTGGGAAGGGGTCCCACAAAATTGAATCATAACCTAAAATGTCTAGTCTTAAGGAAGGTGTCAAAGAACTTAGTTTTCCTTAAATATTAAGGATAATTTTATGGATCTTTAATATGGATAAACTAGACCTATGGGTTTTTAATGAATAAACTGAGAAGAGGTCTTAAGAACTTAAATCCTTCCTAAGTTTACTTACTGAGGTGCTGATTTTTTAAAATAATAGTACCACAATATATTAATAAACCTAGGAAATATTTTAGACCTATAGGTGTTTAAGGAAGATTAGACTATTCCTTAAAGAATTTTAATGAATAAACTAAAAAATAATCTCTAGAGACTAAATCCTACCTAAGTTTCCAAAGTGCTAATCTATTGAATTGAGTTTGGCACGATAGAATCACGCAACCCTAGGGGATTTGGATATATACTAAGCTAGCTTGCAAGGCTATATTAGACCCTACTAGTTTATAGTATGAAGAGACCTTAGAGGCTAAAATTCTAAAAAAGGTTTATTGACCAATTCTGCACTGGAAGGGGCCAAGGAAACTTAATACTACCTTGTAAACCTCAGACAAGAATATAAAGGAAATCCTAACTGGATTATTATGAGATTTTGAATTTTAATGGATTTTCTTTGATTTAAATCTAGGGAATTTTGAGATTTTGAAAGGTTTGTTATGGAATTTTTTGTCTCTCTCTTTTTACATATAACCTTAAAAACCTTCATAAATTTGTCACTAGGGATCTGTGGCTCCAAAAATTCATGCCTCGGCCTCTCCACGGACCCCTTTCCTTTTTTTTTGGGTTGTCGAAAGGAGTTTTAACGAGAATGTTCCCATGTAAATTTTTAGAAGGCATATTGTGTTTTTAAATAAGACACTACCCATAGATTTTTCCCTCTTTTTGCGAGGACTTTATGATTTGAGTTTTGGTTTACAACAGGTGTAAACCTCTATAGTTAATTATTCTTACGGATAATGAGAGAGAACTTTTGATTTAGGATGGTCATTAAATAGATACAAAGTATCTGATATATAGTAGTAGCATGGTTTAGGTATTTGAGAATTTAATGTTTAAAATTAGAAATTCCACCACCTTGTACTTAAAGTTGATGGTGGAGGAATGATGATGAGCCCGATCAAGATCCCATGGTGCCACAATCCCTGGCCATTGTGGTCCATGATCTACTCATCATAGGAGTTATTTGACTCAACCTAACAAAAGGATCCTTGTCTGTAGCCATGGGTTACTTCATCCAATGGTACCTTATAGAACT